AGGAGGAGGAGGAGGAGGAGGAGGAGGAGACGGAAGGAGGGAGAGACTCACACAGGGAGCTCGGGTGCATGGCAGGAATCCTGACTGTGGCAGTGGGCAAAGTGTGAGGTGAGAGAGAGGAAAAAGAGGTCCTCCCTGGGCCCTGAGGACAGTGCAGGGTCAGGGCAGTCTCCAGGGCACCTGGCCAGGCCTGTGACGGTGAACACGGGATGGAAGAGAAGGCCGGAGGAGTGTGCACCAAGGCCATGCAGAACACCCTGCTTAGGGCAGCAGCAGGCTGCAGGCCGGCACTGTCCAGGCCAAAGTGACCCTCAGGCCGAGGCACCGTCCCAGGTCAGGGCTGGGTCCTCCACTAGTTGAAGGAGCTCCGAGCACAGACGTGGGCCAGGCAGCAGCTCAGCCAGGCTTTGAGAGGGAGGACCTTCCACCTGGACCAAAGGCCTGGCGTCTGGGGCCTGCCCGGTGGTGTCCTGTCAGCTGACCATGGGGCATGGAGAGAGTGATCTGTGGGGGCAGGAGGACCGGGAGCCTGCCCCAGGGAAGGCCCTGTGCTGCAGGAGCGGGCTGTCGGTGAAGAGGGAGGGAGGCCCTGCTCCGCCTGCCCCACCCTCCCCGGGGGTCCCAGCAGCACACTCACAGGGTAGAGCAGCCTCTCTGCAGCCCACGCAGCTCAGCAGGGCCCCCAAGCTCCAGCAGAAACTTGCAATGCAATGAGCCAGAAGAGCCCTCACAGCTCAGCACCCCCAACTCCTCCAGCTCCGGCCCGGCTGCTCCCCTCCCGACAGCCCATGCTGCGTCATGATTTGCTGAGATGGATGACATAAAGCTGAGACCCTCAGGCCCAGTGTTCCTGCTCCACTGTGGGGCTCCTGGCTGCGCTCCGGGGACAGCCAGCCCGATCTCCGCGCGGCCACCCCCCCTCAGGAGTCCCCTGCCCGCTCCTGGAAGCCCAGGCTTTCCTTTCCGAGCGACCGCATTGGCAGTTGCCGGTCTCAGCTCTCCAGGTTGGCGCTCTGCCTAGGCCGAGCCCCGTCTCACCCAGGTGGTAGTAGGTGAAGCACATGGTCATGAGGTTCTTGGCAGGTCCGAAGTCATCCATCTGATGACACCTGGAATGAGAGGCAGGGTCGGCGGCGAGAGCAGCGTTCCCCCTGGCCTCACCGCAAGTTCACTCACCAGCCCAGACACTCCCCAACGTGCACATTAGCACCTCACTCCCTAGGCACTGCCACCAGACAGGTGACAAAATAATCCCTCGGGTCCAATCAGGAGTTTCCTACAGGCACACAGCCTGAGCCCGGGCCTGACCCTGGACCGGGAGGCCTTTCTGGACCTCAGCCTGGCCTCGTCACTTTAAACAAGAAACTCAGGGTCCACTCAGCTCAGCACACAGGAGCAGAAAAGGGACCAAGGGCAGCCTCCAGCTTCAGTCCAAACCAGCCTCCACGACTCAGGAGTCAGCAGAGTCACAGGATGTCCCCACATCTGAGGCCGTGAGCCTGGGTGGAGCCCGAGACAGTGTTCCTTGCTGATGCCCCTGGCCGGGGACACCTGGGGTTGTGTGGATAGCTACTCCTCCTGTCCCTTGTTATAAAGCAAATTTAATCTTTATGGAAAAGAAACTTGAATAGGAACAATGTCCTGCAAATGCAGAGGGTCGTTCCGACTGCACATGGAGACTGGACCCGCCCGTCCACCTGAACCACGCACAGAGCCATTCCATCCAGCAATCGGGAGAAGGGGTGCAGAGCGAGCCTGTCGGCCGCAGCAGCGACTCTGTCATGGCTGCGGAGGCTTAATGTTGCTGCCACCATGCTGGGGACAAGGGGACAGGAGCAACGTAAACAGCCATCTGCAAAGTGCCAGCTGCGGCCACGCACACTCCTGCCCAACTGCCACACGGATGCCAGTGCCGCTGTGGACACAGCTGTGTGTGACAGCAACGCCTGGGTGAAAGGGCATCCACCCACTGTGCCCGCTCCCCAGGGGAGAAGCCAAGACAGCAGCCACCAGGGGGCGGCCTTGCCCCTGGCCTCTCAGTTCCCTTCTGTCCCCTGCCAGGCCTTTCCTTCCTGTCCACTTGGGTTTTTTGGTTTGTTTGTTTGTTGGGGTTCTGGGGATTGAACCCAGAGGTACTCCGCGAGCCCCATCCCCAGCCCGTTTTACTTTATATTTTAGGACACGATCTTGCTAAGTGGCCGAGGCTGCCCTCACAGTTGTGACCCTCCTGCCGCAGCCTGTGGAGTGCCTGGGATTTCAGGCCTGTACCTCTGCGCCCAGCCTTCTGTGGTCTTTAACTCTGGACAATTATCACCTTTAAACAAATCCCAGGGCTGGGATACGGCTCAGTTGGTACAGGGCTTGGCTTCACATGCACAAGGCCCTGGGTTCAGTCCCCAGCACCAGAAAGAAAAGCAAAAGGCCAAGCCGGGTGTGGTGGTGCAGGTGCAGGCCTGCGACTCCAGGCACTTGGGAGGCTGAGGCAGGAGGACCACAGGTTTGAGGCCAGCCTCAGCAGTTTAGTT